GTCTATAAATTAGTTTTTGGTTTTATCACATAGCCTTTTTTAATTCCTATGTACTGGTTGATAAGCAACATTTATTATTGATGTTGTCTGACCTTGTTTTCGCAATTTGGTCATATTGGCAGTAAGATCTAGAGGAACGCACCATGTCCGAAATACGTGATATGCATGATAATTTCCAGAGTCGGGCCTTGGACTTGATACATTCCGAGATATTTAGCTGACATCGTCAGTGGGCTTTGCCATTCTTAGCATCAGACTACAATTTATCAAAGATACAAGTGAAGTCGATCTTCTGACCAATTGTCTGCTAAACAGTTCTGGTATCTCAACTTTCCTGGGCTCCTTAAATATCCTATATCCTTGTATCACGCCTTCAATATTACAATTTCTTACTTGTTTATATAAGCCTCTTTGAAACCTATTCACACTCGCCGATGGCTTCCACATCCCGCTCACTCTGCCGAGTGTTGATTCGAGGATGTGATTTAATCCACAATCTTTTCTCCTCTGGTTCTATCAGAGTCCCCCTCAAAGATTTCACTCTATCGCTGCCACCGTATCTGTACTACTCAAGCCGTTATGTTCTACACTGTTTCAAGCCTTTTATAGCAGGTATATACCAGCCTCACTGAGCAAGCCCATAAAGTCTGGATTCTCAATTGGCATGGCTGCCTAACTTGACTCTTCAAATTTCTTTATCGCTGTGCGGCATACGCACAGGGCAAATCTCGTGGTCAAGCCTTTACTTTATTGACCACGTCTATGAGCGAACCTATTTACTACTAGCTAACTAGACATGGCCACCACATTTTCTCTCGTTCTTCTATCTCTAATGCTAAGTGTATGACTCTCTTGAGTTCCGACCCCCAAATGTGATAGTTCTACTTGATTTGAATACGCAAAATGTAGACGTCTTATTTTGGTTTCCGATTGTTCCTATTTGGTCTCCTTTAATTTCTTTACCTAAAATTAAAAGTATTGTCTTTGACCAGTCGTCTTCTTTTTGTTGATATTGCTGTTCCCTGATTTTATCTGAGTTTGCCTAGGCAGTTGCACAGTTTTCGCTGATCCTGTCTTTTTCAAGTTTATTGTTCATTGGATTTCTTTCAGTCAAAATATTGATGGCTTCTCGTATCTTGCGTTTTCTTGTATTTTCACTCGATTTCGCGTCCCGTCCGTGTGATTCTTTCAGAGTCTGTTTCTGCAGGGTCTTTGGTGTTCCGGGATTCGTAGGTTGATTTTTCTTCCTGTTTCACCAATATACTTCTGTTCACGGTTGCCACATTTATGCTATAGAGCCTCGAGATATTCAGTTTGTCAATCTTCTCGTGTTGCGCCTGCAGGCTTGTGAAGTGCGTTGACTTCTTCTGTCATCATTTTGATATTCCATTTTTTTAGCAACGGTCGCAATTTCTGATTCAGTTCACAGGAGGGCAGGTATCTCTAAACTCTACTAATATAAGAGTATCCACTTTTGGTCTTCCTGATTCCTGATCTCATTCTTATAAAATCTTAATGAAGGCTGCTTTTTATGATCCCTATAATTCTTTCTATACATTCTTTGGGGTACCCGTTTTTCAACTCCTCGTTCCAGAACTCATTCTCCGTTATTCTTAAGCTTCTGATGATCATACTCTTCATAATTCCGATATTCAGTCTATGGTTGTGATGAGACTGGAAATTGAGGATTATTTCTCGTGCTTTCTCTCTGAATAGTCTCTTCTTGAGTATTAAGTTGGAGCAAATGAACTCAACATCCAGGAAGGGTAGTCGTTTATCCTCCACCTCCATTGTATTTTAATTCTTTCGCCAAGTTGGTTTACAAAAATGAGGAATCCATCCAAATAAGTAAGTGGAATAGAGAGTACAACAACATTTTGTACTAATATGATCACTTCTTTTTGTATAAAAATGTTATTTCTAAGTGTCTGGATAGGTCCCACAACTTGAAGCAACAATTGCTTGATGTCATCTTGTTTATTCAAGTTTTACTAAAAATAAATTGGCAACTGTGCTTATGTATGTTCTAATCAATAAAGTGAATCGACTCTATATTCCATAAAAAGTGTTATATTCGTCAGGAGTCATTGAAAGCAATTTAGGGTTCAAAAGTGATGATAAAGCAAAAAATGTCACTGTATAAAGATTAAGGTCTTTTCATAGTCGATAGCACATATGTCCCCAACTTCCTATAACCAAATAACAAATCTTAACATATCGCCCCATCAATTCTATTCAGGCCCTGATGCGACCCTCTACTTCACGTTCACATTCCGAATCCCCACTACCTGCAAAGCGTCGTCATGCCCCAAATTTTAAATCAGCAGCCGGCAACCTAGTCACGTCATCAGGCCAAGAAATGGGTTCTAATGCACGCGTCCGTTCTCCTAGAGAGTCTGTTGACCCGAAACAGGGCTCTCGGGAGTCAAAAGGCGTAGTGGTCAGCTTTCGCATTCTTTCAGATCGGGAAGCTAGTGTTGGCAACGGATCTGAATCTTGCACTAGGGGCCTAGCTGAATCTCCACATCTCTCGATGCCAGAGGACCCCGGTGGCGTGCTTAAGATGGACGGCAGAACTAGACATGGTATAGAAGCCCTGGATGAAAATGAAGAAAATGAAGAAGATGGAGAAGAAGAGGAAATTGAAGAAGGTCAAGCAAGAGATGAAGTACGACATGGATCCGGGCTAGGAAGCTCCTTAGTGCAACCTCACATTCGCCGAATCGCTGGCAAGCAGGGACGAAAGCGTCGGATCTCGGCCACAGAGTCCGAAGCCAATCGGTCCAGCCACCCTGGTTCTGTAAAACGGGCCTTCCGAGCTACGTGCGGAGAGCAAATGGTTGGTTCGGATGATATAGGCGCTGAGGCGGATGTGGAACAATTAGATGAGGATGATGAAGATGAAGGGTGTGATGAAGATGATGATTATCACGATGGCCAGGTGACTGTTGCCGAGATCGATACCACTGGAATTTCACCATATTCATCACAGCACCTCATTCGTGGAATGGCCAAAGCGGCGATCGCTGTTGCTGAAGGAAATAAGAAAGCAAAGGGAATGGCTAACGGGGAAAATTTAGTTAGGACACAGACAGTTGTTTCTACTTCAGGCTGCAGACATGAGGATTTGGAGCAGGAAGATGAAGTCGAAGAAGAAGAAGAGGGTGAAGAGGTAGATGAAGAATGCGACGATGATGAAGCGGATGAGTCGTTGAGTGACGAG